CGAAGACAAAGTAAAGAATGATTTGTAAGAGACGAGGTTAAGTGTTATAGGCAAAATAAGACATGTATAGTGTGTAGTCTAAGAAGGTGTGGCGCCATCCTTGAGGTGTAAAGGACTTTGTTTTACAGTTCTCTGTAAAGAAATTCACTTAAGGCGCCATCTGTTTCAGACTTATGGAACCTACGATTTATAACAACAATTAACGTTGATGATAAGTTTTTTTTATTAATTATTATTTACTAATTATTAATACCATTAATTTAAATAATAACTATCATATCATCTAAGTTTGACCAAATAACAGTACATATATATATCAACTTTCATGAATATCGGTTGACTCGCTTTTTAATTATTTCGGAACATACACACTGACACGGGTTTTATATTTTATATTATATATGTAACCGCCGAGCTTCTCCAACAAATAGAGTGACGACAGTTTATTATAAGCCGCCTCCGAGCGACCATTGGATTTTTTTTGATGAGCTTTTTATTTATAATAGAGAGCTTGACATTTCCTCCTGAGAGGCGACGGGAATTTGGGAATGTATTATGATTTAAAAGTGAAAATATTTACGATTTAAAATGGATACAAAACATTTTGATTACAGTTCTGAAAATAGTTAATAACAATCAGTCTATATTTTATAATTTCCGAACTGTAGCGGCTGTTGAAAATATAATAGCCTTTTGTATCACGAGCCGCTTTTCCATCATTTTAAGTTTGTCAAGACTTTTGTTTAGAGCTTTTGCGATAGCACCTATAAATGACACTATAATTGGAATTATATCCACATCATGCAGTCTCCACATATCCTTGATTTCGTGTGCTAAGGTGTGATATCTTCTACACTTCTATGCATAGCGTTCTTGTAGGTTGAAGTCGTATGATCCGTCAATGTTGATCGATCCCAGTAAACTCTTGTTAAACGGATATTCCTCCGCAATTAAACCGTGTCTGAGTGCTAAGCATTGGTGCACAATTTTAGCGACGTGGCTATGTTTTGTCAGTTATTCCGTAGCTGCTAATGGGACACAAGCATCGATTCCGGTTGTTTTTGACATCGCCGGCATCGCATAATTTTAGTTGAATTAACTTTGTCCAGTAGAGCTCACATAAAACCTTCGGTTTCAAATAAAATCTGTGTTCTGCTTAGCCAATCGTTGGATGCTTTTGTGTCTATTTCCGGTTGATGGATTGCGTAGGGGTACTGTCGGTGGAACGATATCGTTTCTTATTGCAGTAGTAAGGACCAGAAATGTTGTGTGCCTACTAGGAGTCGTGAGTTGAAATGTCATGTAAATTTGGGTGGGGTGGAATGATATACGACTTTGTGGAGTTGATTTTGTTGCTCATGGAACTATAGCAGAGGGTTGTTTACTTACTTTCGATATATTGTAGATTCGTGATGTCTACCATACCTCGCAAGCCTTGTCTTCGTGGTAGGTAGACATGTTCTAAGGCTGACTTGGAATGGTGTATTCTAACTTAACAAGCTTTTCACTCGCTCGATTTGGCTGTAGTCCGGAGCTTGGTTGCCCCAGAGGAGAGATAGCAGGTTCCTAAGTGCTCCATCAACTTTTTTCGTTCGTGTTTGTTAACTACTTAACAAATCTCCGCCTTCGTCGGGCAGCGGTCGCGGCAATCTTGCGGAATGAACGGTCACCAGAAGTGACGCCTGTTGGAGTGGGGCGTGAAGCCGGACCAGTTAGTTTTTTTAAAGTTAACAAATGTCGTTTGATACACGGAAACAAAGTCGGGAGGTTTGCAAATCGAATTTGTATGGGTAAGTGATCCACTGTTGGTGTTAGTATAGATCGCCAGGCTTTCCTGCAATGGTTTTGTATGGCGAACTTTGACAATTACCCACAACTCTGGTCGACTTACCGGATAGCAACGCCCTGACATTCTAGGGTAGTGTCCCTGCGGTCGATATCGCCGTCGATAAGACGATACAGCACGATGTTATGTAGGATGAACGCTAAGACTCCTCTATGGTCTTGCTCGCGATCCTTGCGGATCAGAAGATCCGAGCGGACGGTCAACTTTGTCATGCTACGGGGGACTCCGTGAGACCGTAGAGGTCTGTTGGTTGGGAAGAGGCGCTAAAAGCACTGTCGCGGAGGCTAGGGCTGGTTTCGACGCCAGCCTTGTTGACCTAAACGAGGTTAGGCTGCCGAAAGGATGACAGGCCTTGTCTGTGTGGAGCTGTGTGTTTCACTTCAAGGCCTTATGGAGAACTGCCCGATTTGCGGGCTGGTGGGTATTTTCTGCTGTGTTCTTAGTCTTATTGTCTTTTAATTTCATGTAGAATTTACTTTCTTTTTTATGAAATGCAGCATTTGCAGTTCTTTTCTTCCCAGGGATTACATTTTATTACTAGCTTTGAAGAAATGTAAGTTCTTCTGCATACTGATTTATTGGATCTTGCTTCGAATATATCTTATATTTTTTGTTGAGGCTTTCATACCAGTTCAAAAATATTTTTGAGTGATTATCGTGAATATATTAGGTTAATCTTCCGAGATCTGCCCGAAGCTTTTGAATTTGGGCCCGGAAAGTACTGACGTACTCAGAAAGAAATGCGGGTAGAATGTGTACATATAATTGTTTACTAGCAACTGCTATTACTACCGATTTTGTTGTTTTTTATTCGGAAATGATTGAGCGTAGTGTTGGATCTGTTCCAGAAAACTCCACCATTTGAAATTCAGTTTTTAACCTTTTTGATCTTTGACTATCGGGTTCTGTCGACAGGACTGCAATATTTTGTGGAATAATTTCATCAATTTNGATCTTTCACTATCGGGTTCTGTCGACAGGACTGCAATATTTTGTGGAATAATTTCATCAATTTCTATTGTGGACATGCCACTTATTTCTTTAGTTCTTTGAGCTTTCGGATTGATATGTACTTATTTCTAATTGTTGCACTTCGCCGGTCACCTATTCTTTGTAGTGCAACATGAATATTTGGAAATTTCCGTTAGAATAGTAGCGTAGTCGCGTTCTTTATTTAGTTTTACACGTAGTTGTCTCGTTTTTTGTAATTAAATAGTAACTACGCATGATATGTTTGATCATTTGTCGATTTCATGAGTTACCTGGGGTGTACCGCTCTAGTGGTTACCGTTTGGCTTGGTAAGATATTCAAAGTGGTCAGTTGGTTAGTGTCTTTTGTAGGTCTGTCAATTGGGTGGTCAGACTATTGTCCCGCATCATCTTGGGCCATTGAGAAAATCGTCCGAGGCTTCCATTACAAATTGTGGAACCATTTTGCACCCCAGGAGGTGGTCGGTCTTTATTGGGTAAGCTGAGGTATGCGTGTTTGCCAAGCAAGAAAAAGGTAATACCTCTGCACTGTATTATCCAGTTTTCGTCCGTAGAACTTTGCTTTATCTGCCACCTAGGGACGCGCCTCATTGAGCACCTGGTAAACCCACAGGGGTTATTTTTTTCTTTAATTTTATTTTAATTATTTTTTTCGTATGATTTTAATTTATTTATGTTTACTTTTTTTTATAGCATTTTATTTAATCTTATTTTATTTCGTTTAATTTAATTTAGTTTAATTTTGAATTAAATTTTAAATTTCATTTTATTTGATTTTATATACTTTAAATAAATTTTTTTGTTTCGTATTTTTTATATTGTTTTGGTTTTTTTTTCTAATTTTTTAATATTCTTTTATTTTATTATATATTTTTTTCTTCATTACATATTTTGCTCAATTTTTTCCATGATTTGTTTTTAAAATTAATTATTATTTCTTATTTATTGAGTCCTTTTATATATTTTTTTTATAATTTTCGTTCGTTAACTATACGAACTGCATGGTTTTCAGTTGGGCCTCAATTTCTTTGCGCTTGACAACCTGTTTAAATATACTTCTTACTGTACACACACACATAATTAAAATTGAATTTTTGTAAAAATACCTATGTATATACATTAAGTCCCTCAGTGTTCATGGCACGTGCTACACGCCTGCCATAATAAGCAGCGGTAAAGGCAGCGGAATTTATTTGGGGAAAACACAAATGAACATGCTTAGTTTTTTTGTATGTATATGTAAGCGTGGTAACCAAAAACTTTGTCATGGACAAGTCTTCTGCAGACATGGTGGAATACTATTTTGATTTAAGCGAAAATATTAAGGTATAAAATATTAGACTCATCGTTGCTAAGCATCAAAGGCAATTACAGTCTCAACGTGAACAGCAAGAAGCTCCAGTCCTACAGTGTTAAGCACATAAAATAAAAAATCCAAAATGTTCAAATACGTAAGTTCATACTTGTGTAAATTTAAACATGAAATAAGTATAATTTCCTATTTCTTATTTAAAACATTTCTAGGCTGTTGTTCTCTTTGCCATCCTCGCCTGCGCTGCGGCCAAACCGCACATTCTTGCTGGCGCTCCTGTGGCTTTTGCTGCTCCAGCTCCGGTGATCACCGCCACCAGTAGTCAAGTTGTGGCACGCAATCATAATGGCATCGCTTTCGCTCCAGTTGTCGCACCAGCAGCCATTGCTCCCGTGGCTCCACTCGCTAAAGTTGTCGCTCCCGTCGCTGCTGCTCCATTGGCTGCACCAATCGCACCTCTTGCCGCACCAGCACCTTTGATTGCTCGCTATGCTGCTGCTCCTGCACCATTGGTCGCCCGTTATGCTGCTGCTGCTGCGCCCTTCGCCTACTCAGCTCCTTTGGCCGCTTCTTATGCTGCACCGGCTGCTGCTTTCTCATATGCTCCTGCCTACGCACCTACCTTGCGTTATGCTGCTGCTGCCCCGGCTCTGTGGTAATTTAACGACTCCGAAAACCTGCAATAGACTGTGATAGTTCTAATCGATTACAAAACATTAAGATAATAAAGATAAAGAAAATTAAACCAGACATTTTTTACTAAATTATGATCCTTACTCTAAGAATCAAGGTAGAAAAGTCCATCTTGAGAAGGCTAGTAGTTAAGGTGCGTTTAATTGCCGCCGAAGAGAAGCAGAGTTGGTTATATCCGTTTGGTGTTTGGTTTTTGGTTTAGTATGTAGATCCTGTCAACAGCTTTCTCAAAACAAATGTTTGAGAAAACCGCTCTCTCAGACGCGACCAACATCCAAAAGTTATGAAAATTTATTTAAATAAAAAATTAAGTTGAATTTTCTTATCGCCCTCGGCATAGAATGTCAATTTTAATAAAAAAAAACGATCAGTTGTTGGGATGACGGAAAAAGATAAAGACGCAAAATACACGACACAAATTGAAGAAGGAGCTCAATATTATTATTACTTCTTCTAAGAACTCTCCCACACCTCTACGAACCCTCAGGACTCCCCACTGCGTGAATCCATTCTTCTGAGCCGGCCCAAGTTTATCATTATCCGCAACTACAGGGTTCGCCATCTAGACGTTCGGTATTTCAACATTGAATACCTTTGTCGGTTTTTAGCCGATTTTGACAAATATCATGCACATTTGTCTGAAACGTCATTTAGTACGATTTTATCCCAGCAAGCCAGAGACAATCGTCGAACTAAGAGATAACATACGAGCCAGAATATCCGCGTTATCGCATGAAATGATGGCCAATGTTATGCAGAATGCGCAAACCAGGGCTGTTTTTTGCGTATGAAATGAAAGTGGTCGTAAAAGTATATCCTAAAGAATTTTGCTTATTTGTCAAAATCGGCTGAAAAATATTAGAGTTCCCCAATGTTGAAATAAGGAAGGTGTTGATGGAACTCTGTATAGCGAGCGAGACCATGGTAGAGGCCTGATCCTAACCTATAATGACAGGTAATGCTGAGCTCGAAATATTTAATATATACATTCCTCCAGATATTTCTTGCCCAGTTAGCACAAGCCGCTTTGTTTTGGGCTACTTAAACGCGCACCATTCTAGCCTGTCAAATGACCGTAGGGGAATGGAGATGGTAGGATAAAGAAGCGATTCAACATTCTGCAACAAGAATGACGACGCTTTGCTCAGAATTGTGGGTAATTGGCAAAGCTCGTCAAACCTAAGGCTCATGGCATGGTTCCCGTGGACCACTGAACGTTCCTTGACTTGTAAAAAACTAACTTCCAAGAATTTACGGAACTCACTGAAAATACCTTTAGTGCTTTCCCCACTCCAACTGCCATTGCCTCCGGTGAATGCTTATTTCGCTAAATTGCCGAGTCCGCTGTCGCCCACATCAGCCAGGCAGATCGAGTTCTGAAACTCCTGCGAAACCTCCCGATCGAAGCGGCGGCTTTAGCAGCTCCATTTGTCACACCTATACCAGAAATTCACTCATCAGGGAAGTTGAACTTACAAGTGAAACAGGTGGGAGAAACACTTAAGATCCTTCAACCTTTCCTTTGGGGCAACTAAGCTCTAAGATGCTCAGGGAGTTACCGAGAGAGGCGAAGGCCTCCAAATACATCTGCTCCGACGAATAAGCATGCTCATGGCAAAACTCTAGGAACCAGCGGGAGCAGACTACCTCACCAAGAATACACTTGTAGAGTTTCTGCTCCTGTCCTTCACACACCAAAACTGGTGTTGCGCGCCAACTGTCCAGGCAGTACTTAAACCTTTTGACACCGTAAATCATTCAATGCTAGTATCGGACATGTAGGACTGCTCAGTACCGCTGGGGATGAAGAGGTGGATCATGGGCTTAGCCGCTTCCCACCGGCTGATGGTTTTTATCATGTCAGAAATACGCCGAGGGATGACGGCAATTGGAAAATTTAACTAAATTTTTTATTTTATATTTAATTTCCTTTAACTTTTGGATGCTGATAATACCACGATTTGAACCCGGGCCTTCCGAATGGCAGTACCTAATGCTGACCACTGGGCTGCCGCGACTGCCTTTCGGAGGGTATACTTCTATTAATAAGAACGTCTGAACACCCAGACCAGCATCGAGACTGACAGTCACAATCCTCGTAGGGACCATTTGAATGAGTGCGGTTAGAGTCTACTTTCAGGTAATCTCTGAGGAAGACCAACTACTACTAAATAGAAACTTTGAGGTAAACACATATCAATTTCTTGTAATTAATGAATTCATTTTATTTTCATATATTTACTTTTGTTACTTAAAACTATCACAGTCTATTGCAGGTTTTCATAGTTCGTTAAATTACCACAGAGCCGGGGCAGCAGCAGCATAACGCAGAGTTGGTGCATAGGCAGGAGCATATGAGAAAGCAGCAGCCGGTGCAGCATAAGAAGCGGCCAAAGGAGCTGAGTAGGCGAAGGGTGCAGGAGCAGCAGCATAGCGAGCAATCAAAGGTGCTGGTGCGGCAAGAGGTGCGATTGGTGCAGCCAATGGAGCAGCAGCGACAGGAGCGACAACTTTAGCGAGTGGAGCCACGGGAGCAATGGCTGCTGGTGCGACAACTGGAGCGAAAGCGATGCCATTATGGTTGCGTGCCACAACTTGACTACTGGTGGCGGTGATCACCGGAGCTGGAGCAGCAAAAGCCACAGGAGCGCCAGCAAGAATGTGTGGTTTGGCCGCAGCGCAGGCGAAGACGGCAAAAAGAACAACAGCCTAGAAGAGTAATAAATCAGGGTGTTTTAATTACACTTTATTTTTAAAGATAAGTGAAGCTTGAACTCACGTATTTAAACATTTTGGAATGGTTTTTATTATTTATGTTTTGATTGCTGAAGTATTCGAGCTTCTTGCTGTTCACGTTGAGACTGCGGATGTTTTTGATATGGAACTGTGACGAGCTCTGGCGTTTTATATTTCGTTTATAGCGGTACTGCATTCTTCAAGCCAATGGCCTCCAGCATGGAGAGCTTGTCCATGAGAATATGTTTTGGTTAAAACGCTCAAACGCCAAGAAGCACAAGGCCCTTCTTGAAGCGAGCGAGTTTTACGTTTTTCCTACACCGAAATATGTGGCTGGTGGCAGTTACTCGTATTTACTATGCATTGACCGTAGCGTATGTCGGGCATACTACTTAACATATGCAAATATTTAACTGTAATGTATATATAAGTACATAAGTTAAAAGACATTCAGTTATTTATGGTGATTTGCCTGTTTTCTCTAGTTTACTGAATAACAAAAAATGTAACATCGAAATGGTGTAAACGATTAGTCAGAGCTTTGTCTAATTTAATATTTGGCATTGACCACGTCCCAACCTTTACTTGTGTTAAAAGCTTAAAAAGAGGCGAAACTATTTATGACAGAAGGAGGTCTTTGAGTATTGACGTTGCTGAATATACAGCCTTGGCCAAAAGTATTAGACACCTCACTAAAACACAATTATTCTCAAATGCGGCTATCAAAGTTACCATTTCTTTCTGTGAATGTCTTACACGGGTGTTTAACCGTTGATTAAACCAATAAATTGTGTAATATTTAAAGCCATAGGACTCTGGGTAAACTAAACCTAAAAATTGTAATTTTTTAAGAAATTCATAAAATATTTTCGCATTCAAAATTTGAAGGTGAAAGTGTAAAATACATTTAGTTTCCAATTATAGAACAGTTCATATTAACCGAAATGCCTAAAAAAATGAAATTAGTTACGATGATAGAGTTAGAATTCAAGTTCTAAGTGAGGTCGAGATTGCCAATTTGGTGGGTTGTTCTCGGTACGCGGTCCAATGCGCTATCAGGCGATTTGTGTAGGCGAAATCCCACAATAATAAATTAAAAAGTGGAAGAAAGCATATAATCAGTAAACGAGAAGACCGAATACTTATACGCGAGTCTCTCAAGGATCGGAAAAAATCTCCTCCTGCCTTTGCAGCTGCCCTTTCGGGCGAATTTAGTAAACCAGTTAGTGCTCAAACAGCTAGAAGAAGACTTCTGGAAGCAGGTTTAAAAGCATGTAATGCCCGACAGAAGCCGTGCCTCTCAGAAAAGAATATGAAAAATCGTTTCACGAAAGAAGATTGGTTGAATGTTCTGTGGTCTTATGAATCAAACTTCGAAGTAAGCTTCGTTAAGATAGTCTTATAGTATTAACACCCATAGGTTCTTACGCTAGAATAATTTTGAGGACATAATACAAATCTTATGACTTTATTTTCTTTTCTACAGATATTTGGAATACCTGGTGTGACGTTCGTGAAGAATATTACGCAGATTGCGCGGTACCCACTGTTAAGCATGGAGGAGGCAGCATTATGATCTGGGGATGCATGGCTGCTGATGGTGTCGGCGAAATGTTCATTTTCGAGGGTCGCATGGACAGTCAAAAGTACATTAATGGATTAGAAGCTGATCTTCTGTCTTCGTTAACGCGTATTTTCGGCGATACTAATTTAGAGGGGGTTCAATTCAATCAGCGACTACGATGCGCTGGTTTAGAGATAACAACATTGTTTTGTTAGAGTGGCCTGTACAGTCTCCAGATCTTAACCCCAAGGAACACAGTATATATCAAAAACTGCCTTAAAGAATGCCTTAATTAACGTGTGGTAGGCTAAAAGTGGGGACGAATGTGCAAAGCTTGTACGCAGCATGGCTAAGAGAATTGCTGCCGTTATTAAATCGATGACCTACTAAATATTAATGCTTTTATCACTAATTCATTTTATTTTCTCTGTTGTACTAATAAAACTTTATTACTTCACTTGTTAAAACAAAAAATTCAGCATTTAGTGGGGAGCCTAATACTTTTGGCCAAGGCTGTAGTCTTTGTTTGGAGCTGACTACAGCATTACACATTGTGTGAAGGACAACTTTCAATTGATGTGGATCAGCTGTAAAAAAGATTTCCGACTAATTATTTTCTTTGTTGAGTTAAATTAAGCTAATTTATTATGATCAATCAGGCCACGGGGAAAAGTACTTCTACGACGGTCCCCAATCTTATTGCAAGCCACCCATACGACCTACGAAGTGACTTTTTTCCGATTAGATTTTAAAGTGCATATTCACTGACTAGTTCACCTGCCCTCTCTGTACCATTACTTTTGGTTGATAATTATAATATTAATTATATATATAACTAGCAGACCCGGCCACACGTAGTTGTGGCTTTCTTGATTTTGTCAGATTTTGTCAAACGATAAAAAGCGCCTATGAAGTATCATCTAACACATTAAGGCGCCTAAGAAGTATCATCTAACACATTAAGTTTCAAACTTTTATTATAATATATTATTGATCTAGCTACGTACGTGTATGCTTATGTGTGCGTCGCTTATTATCTACCTAAAGCCTTTCATTTAAATATCAATAAAACCTATAAGAATTGCTTCAAAGCCCAAACTGTAGAGTGAACACATACACACGATCTAGTCGTGTACCCAAATAATAACTTTTGTCAATCGGTCGGAGATCCCTTCCCAGATCCTTCTATACCTTGCCTTGAATTTAGAATGTTGTCTCAAAGCTACGACCAACAGATGACCATCGACGTTCGGAAGCAAGAATTCAATTTTCGTGTCTTACGCAAAAATGATTTTGACTCATTTGAACTGGCAGAAAACAGGGATTTTAAAGGTTCATGTGGAGTAGGGAGTGGTGACAATACAGCTTTTCCTGATGGGCAACTCATCCCGGGTGTTTCATTGCGAAATTTTAATGCCTGGCAATCACTGCAAATTTTGTCCATTGCACCAATAGTAACTTTGGACGAAGCAAGACGAACAAATGATCCACGGATCGCTGCGTGGTTGGTCCGATGATTTTCCCCGGTTTCGTTCTCTAAATGAATCTATATATTGTGGACGTGCCACCTTGGTTTCTTGTCGACCGATTATCATGCTGTTCTCGTGATTCTCGTGCACGAATTTCGCTGTGAGAATTCTTTGGGCTGCACTTCTCTCTGCTCTCTGTTCAACTGATTCATGAGCTTTTTCAACTCGTGCATTTCCAGTCTTCTTGCTATGGGCATAAAGATTGGATTTGTTGGTCGCAAAATTGAGTTATTCATGTGAATGAATTTCGCCTTTCGCAGATTTTGTGGATTATATATTTAGCTGTTTTTATATAAATGTTAATTAAAATAAGAAAAAAATATTCTAAGTTATGTGCGAAACGAAAACAAAGTAAAGAATGATTTGTAAGAGACGAGGTTAAGTGTTAAAGGCAAAATAAGACATGTATAGTGTGTAGTCTAAGAAGGTGTGGCGCCATCCTTGAGGTGTAGAGGACAATGTTTTACAGTTCTCTGTAAAGAAATTCGCTTAAGGCGCCATCTGTTTCAGACTTATGGAACCTACGATTAATAACAACAATCAACGTTGATGATAAGTTTCTTTATTAATTATTAATTACTAATTATTAATACCATTAATTTAAATAATAACTATCCTTTCATCTAAGTTTGACCAAATAACATATAGTACATATATATAGTATATCAACTTTCATGAATATACACTCAGACATGGTTTTTTAATGTATATTATCAAGTTTTTGGATATTGGCTTGTGGTTGCAGAGATATTAGAATATTTAGATTAAAATGATTTTTTCGCTATTATTATTTGTTGTTGTGTACGCAAAACATATGTACAATTTTAGATTTTTTCATAGTATTATTTTTGCTTACACAAAGGACGCCACGGTGGTATATGCCGCCTAGTTGAACTTGCAAAAAATATTCTTCGCTTATGCCGCAAGCAAAATCTCTCCCTGCAGATAGCTCACAAAAATCAGAAGTTGAAGAAATTTCTTGCTGTGGCACACTCGGTAGTGTGCGCGTGTTGAAATTCCTTTCGAAGGAGCCAATTTGTTACAGTCTTATTTTATTACTTTTCTATTTAATTATAATTATTTATTTTACACTTATTAAATTTCTTGCTTATTTGTGAATAATTATTAATATTATATTAAATTAAAATATATTAGCTAAAAATAGGTAAATGCTCATTAATATTTTCTTTTATTTAATTTTGAACTAAATAGTAGCCAAACACCATATGGAAAAGAAGAAGAAAATAATTAATGAATCATTTGGCTTTCATTGAATTTCTATTATAATTCTATTGGTTTTACTTCTGTTGTCGTCAATAACAGTTTTTCTTTATGCTAAGCTATCAAATCTGTTAGTTTACAGCCAAATTTTTATTTTTACAGACAAATTTTAACAGAGTGGTGAATCCTTTTCGCGATATTTTCTAGTTTTGCAGAATCTTCAATCGAGCATCGAACCAAAAGTCAATTGCAACTTCTCCAGAGAACTTATAACAACTATTATTCCAAGTTCTCTGAATTGCACCTTCTCGTTATTATAAATTCTCTGATCAGTTATTTTTTATTAATTATTAATAATTGGGACCATTGATTTAAGTAATAACTATCCTATATGCCAACTTTCATGAGTATAAGTTAACTCGTTTTTGAGTTATTTCGAAACATACACACGGACAAGGGTTTGTTATACTCGTAAATTAAGATTGGCGCTTTGTAACCGCTGGAGCGATTTTCGGCCGAGCTAATTTCCAATTTGTGTTTTTCCAACAAATGGAGCGACCTACGGTTTATACAAAACCGCCTTCGAACGACTGATGGTTTTTTATGGGGAGCCTTTTATTTCATGTCGGAGGGCTTGATATTCATGCGCGTAAATACTTCTGTCAAAACGGGTACTTTAGAGTAGCAGTTTAGGTTTTAGAAAGATAAATAATCGACCTATTAGTTGAAAACGGTGGTCGGAAATTCAACCAGAATAATAACCCTGTACGTTGGTGACTTTTCTTCAGAAAAATGTTTCTTTCAAGAACTTAAATATAGCGCAGAAGGTCGGTTAGAGTCTGCTCAGTTACTGCTTCAGAACCCGATTGTTGTAAGTTAGTTCTACATCCTGGAATCCTAGAGGATTTATCGCGCTGTATGTGGAGTTGTTTCATGGGTCTTTGAATACCCATTAGGTATACCCGTTTACAGGTTTTCGCTGTGAAAATGATATGTGGTTCTGGACAGGTGAATTTTACCAAAAGTGAGTCGCAGTGAGATGTCCTTCGAAAGTCTTAGATATCACGGAGATAGTTTTTACTGCACGACTCGGGCTCTTGACAGCGCAATCTGCTTTCTTCTGACTATGCTGATATTAGAACTGTCATTACTGATTCTTTATTAGCTCTGAGACCTAATCTACAAAAGTATTTTTAACTCTAAAACGTTGGAAGGAAAACCATTTCATTTGCCAGATGGGAGAAATTACTTAGAACGTTTTCCAAGGTTCGGATTACAAGAACGAAGCTATTGTGATTAATTTTAGACAAAAATGTATAACACTTTATTTTGATTTTGAAAGACAAAACTTTCTTTAAATAAAAATTAAATGTTTTCGGGCGCGAAAAAGTCATATGCGAGTATTTGTGAACTTCAGGCGAGGATGTTGAAGCTTCTCACCTTCCTATGTTTGACCAGAGTATTCAATCTTCAAACGCAAAACTCTTGAGTAGACTACAGTAATTCGACGATTTAAATGCAGGCGAATTATTCGAACTACGAAACGCCAAGGCCTGATATTACTTCGTCGTGAATTCATACCGATTTAGCTATTGGAAGTTCGACACAAAGCGAAATATGTTCATGGCCTTGCTAAATGCGAATCCTTTTTGCCGAACTACGAATAAAGATAATTTTTCATCTTCCTTGTTCGAAAATCATAGCAGCTAAACTTTAATGCTGCCGCATTCCAAAGGTGCTTTTTATTTTCGGTATAGTGAATGTGTACCCACGTTCATGCAATAAACTTTTGCGAAAGGATTCATCAGCATAAAATGAACTGTGGAACTCACTCAATTTCGACCAAATGAAGAAACGAATGAACTTTGTGTGGAGTCAAGTGTTTTTTCGCTATACATACGCTGCTGCTCCTTTCAGTATGTGGGTAGGTGTGCGTTATTAACTCCGTATGCATGTTTGTATGTGTGGAGTAACCACTACAACTTCAGAAGCTGCTGCGCTCTACATGACTTAGTCAACACGTTTTAATTGCTTTCACAAGCAACCCCCTACTTTTCAAATGATTTTTTATTCCTGTAAATATTAATATATGCGAAGATATGTACATACATACATATAAATATATGTGCAGACATATATACAATATGGCGCAATGTACATTTTTCAGTATAGATATAGAATTGTAGGAAAATTTTAAATATCTACAAGTTTAGAAAGGACTGTTTTTCGTTTTTTAGTTAAGCTCCTGCTTTTGGATGCTTTAAGCCTTTCAGTCAAATTCTCAACGAATGCAATAAACTTGACTAACGGCACATTGTTTTGTTAGCCGGTATATCAAAAATTTACTCCCACACTTGCATGTGTACAGTTGTATGCATGCACATTCGTATGTACGTATGTATGGGCGAATATATCGAGATGTTTGCTTGTATGTATAAGTGTATTTCCGGCGTGTGCTCTTAAAATCCTTGAAACTAAATCAAATTTTTAAAAATAAAATGGAAAATTGCAAAGAGAATTTTAAATATGGAAAATATTTCAAGTAACCGCAGAATGTATTTATGTGTGTGTGTGTGTGTGTGTGTGCAAGCAAACTTTATTCAATTTTATCTTCTTTAGTTGAGAAAAATTGTGTAGTCAAATTCATTAAAAATCATAGAATGGTCCGTTAACCAAGTAGCGAGTCCGAGTGGGCTTCAAGTGGCAATCTCGATTGCCAAACCCCAAGTTACATAACTACAAAGGGCAGTTGGATTGGATGGATATACTCTCAAATATACTCCAAGATTGTTTCCCCAAATAATTACCAGAAATTTGGCACAAGTGGTAGATAAAGCGTGAAAAGTTAATTAAAAAAATCTCAAAGTTAATCTTTAAAACAATACGTTTTGGTATCGAATAACCTCTTGTTAGAAGACACTGAAATTATCCACAAAGACCCACTTTTCTCATTACGTCTTTTTCCTTCTTCTTTTTATTTTGCGCAGGCGCCGCTAACGTGTAAAGCTAGGTTCTTCATCTCTCCAATGGAGGACTTCCTCTTCCCCACCTTTCACAGCTGGAGCGTTTCCATCTATCCCAACAACATGACCAGACAGCATATCTCTTAATGTTAATGTCGTCGTATTTCTTATGAAACTCATCGCTCCATCACCTACGGCTTTCTAGTCCTCTCTTCTACACCACGTAGTAAGACGGAAATAAGGAGCGCCCTGTAGAGCTTAGGTTCTGTTTGTCGAGTGAGGACCTTTCTTTTCAATTGACTACTCGGTCCAAAATTGCGAATATATGTGCCCTAAACACCCTTTTCTCTTTATAATCAGCTCGTTCAATTGTCCTCCCGCTGGATGGGCTTAGTGGCATCGACTAGCCGCATAAAAAGGAAGGGAAGGCGTTAAAGCGAGGATACAATAAAAGATCGAAAGAAGTCTTTTTGTCGGGATCAGACTCTGAAATCAGTATAACTATGGAAAACGACTATCAGAATCGAATAAAGTCTGAATGTAAAGGTTGGATAGCAGAGTTTACCTGGTTTTAGATTTCTGGATCTTTTCATAAGCTTTCTGTGAAAATCATTTGCTGGAAGAAATTTAGGACTACTCCGAAACGTTCTTCAAGGTTTACACTTAAAGCTTGGGTCTTTGAATCACATGAGAAACCAGAAGTCTAGCAGCTGTGAAAGTTTACTCCTTACACCTGAATGGATTTTCATTTCTTTCGCACTGGTGGAGGATGTAACTAATCAGAGTACTACGTGCAGATCGAACTCTGATGGCACAATAATTTTCACATGTGAATTAAAGTTTCATATTTTTATTTCAACTTCTGCTGAATAAGATTTTATAATTGAAATTACAATTATTGCTGAGTAAGATTAAATGAGGTTAGGTATGGTATGATTATTTACATTAGATCCATGTTGTGAATTTGAAACATAAACTATTCAATTATCCGTAGCGTTGACGCAATCTTAAAGCGAACGGACGGCGTGCGTAGTTGACTCGAGTGCGTAAGGGTCTTGCAAACGGTGAGAGAAGAGCAATACGAGTTGGAATGACTGCGGGACGGAACACTTGTGTGGGGGGATAAACTAAAGGCGCGGAAATAACTGTTGGATCAGTCAGTGGCAGTGGATATGATGGCAACAAAGCGGGTTGATATGTAGGAACTGCAGGTGCTAAAGGCCTTGGTACTGGAACTAATGGTGAAACGGCGATATTCGGTGCTGCTACTGGGAACGGTGCAATAGGAGCTGCTGCACTGACACCCGTAAAGGGTGCAAAAACCGGTATGAATTTGTTATGTATCCGGTGTATATATTGACTGCTCACAGCGCCGGCGGTGGGTAAAATCTCTACATCAGGATCAAGCGGTATAGGCACAGCGATTTGTGCTCTGGTTAACAAAGCACAGCAGCAGACGCACAACGCCAGGAGCTGTAGGGTAATTTAACAATCATAATGAGCATACATATTTTGTGAGATTTTTGTTATAATCTATTATTTTATAATATATTATACTACGCTATCTTGTATTATATTCGATTATATAATATATTTTTCATTGAATTTATTCAAATTCATTTTAACTTTATTTGATATTTATTTGTTTTTTTTTTCTTTTTTCAATTAATTTTATTTATTTTTAATTGTTATTGTTTTATTTCGTATAGTTTAACTTTTCATATTAAAATTTTTTGTCTACTCTTTGTTATTTAGTTTTTTTGTCATTTTAGTTTTTTTTTATTTAATTTATTTTATTTTAGATGAGCTTCTTTTATTTACTTTTATTTTAGCTTAGTTTGGTTTCTATTATAGAGTTTGTTTTTTTTGATTTATTTCAACTGAATTTGGCACAATTACTAAATTCTTTTATACAGTATTATATAATTTAGGCAATGTTTTTAATTATTTGAGTTTCAGTGTTTTTATATTATTTGAATTCTTTTTATTTTAGGTTATTTTTCCTTTACTTATTTTTTTATTTAATTTTTTTTTAATTAATTTTAATTGATATTTATTTTATTTTTTCTAAATTAGTTTCATTTATTTTGTCTTAGTTAATTTAAATTATCTTTTAATGCTATTCTATTTCATCTTATTTATTGTTTTTGTTTGCTTTATAGTTTTTTGAATTTTTTCTTTATATTTATTATTTACAATAGTTTTTTCTATGTTAACATTATAATGCTTTATTTAATTGAATTTCAGTTTGAATATAATAAAATTGTTTGAACTTATTTTAATTAAATTCTAATATATTTATTTTTATTTAATACTTTATATATTTTTGGTTTATTTAATTTTTGTTATTTAATTTTTTTGACATTTCCATCTTTTTCTTATTTTTTTAAATTATTTAATTAGTATGTTGGAGTTGATTTTTTATTATTTCAGTTAATTTTTTTATTTGTTTAAGTTCTTATTAATTTATTTAGTTTCATTTTACTTAATTAGATATTTATATTATTTTGTTTTACTACTTAATTGTTTTTTAATTTTTGATTAATTACTTTAAGTAATTTTTTTAAGTTCATTTTGACTTTATTGATTTGAATTTAATTAATTTTATTATTTATTGATAATTTTATCGAATTTAATTTAATTTTATTTTAGTTATTAAAATTTTTAATTTTTTTAAATTAATTTCGTTTCTAGGTAAATAACTTTATGCTTAAATATTCACTTTTTGGCACATTTTAGTCTGGTTTAGTCCTTGCTTTTCGCGCCACGATTAACGAGGTTTTAAACTGTTGTTAATTTCCTGATAAGCATTTGCTTTTATAGTGAAAATCGCAATACTATTTTTACTCATTTAATTATTGTAGAAATTTGAAAGAAAGCAAATTCGTTGATAACTTTTCACTCAATGAGTGTTTGAGTAAAATTTGTATTTTTTTTTGGAAATTTGTCCGTTGTTTGAAAATATTGCATGTTCAGTTTGGCAAACGGATTGCTTTGGTATTATTTAATTTTACAAATGAAATTGTCATTTTCACTTTCCGTCTCTTGAGTTTGGCATTAATGTGATTGGGACAAATAAACATATGTGTGTATGGCAAACACGTTGACAGGCTAGTGTCAATTAATGTATGTATGTACCTACTAACCTACAAAGAATAATTGCCAACATTGGTCTTCAGACAGTAGAAGCGACGAACTGAAAATGCAGTGCGATTTACGAGGGCTGCTTGCGCATGCGCACCGTTTTCGATGTAGATACAATTCATTTACAAAAGTACTATCAACAATTTGCATACCTATAAATAATTATTCAATTTACGTGTGTAAAAAATCTTTATATGCTGTACACACCCTCCAGTAGCGCAGTCTGCGCGCCAATGAATCAACCAGCCAAACTAATTATCAACCCAGCGCGCAGCAGCGACCGCCACACGTCGCATATGGAATTTCCATTAAAAAAAAGATTGGTGCGATTTCAATATTTTGTTACATTTATACATACATTCATACATTCATATGCACTGACGCCTTTACTTCTTCAGTACAAGTCGCAGTTAGTCTCATAAATTTTTGTAAATAAAGTCAATGTCCCATAAAAAAAAAAAATAAAATTGTATCCATTAAAAAAATATATGTACTTAAATCAGTAAGATTACACAACACTGTTATTGACCCCGCCTGTTTACTGCGAGTTATACTCAATTGATCCTTGAGTTATATTTGGTTTTCGGACATCGGGTGGGGTATTTAACTTTGCGGTTCCAAATTGCATCAAAATAATAAAGAAATTGATTTGTCCAATCTGAAAAATCTGTTCCATCGTCATCGATTGTGGAATCGGGTTGGCTATCTCCTGTTCTTACACTTTCACTGTCATTCAACCGGCGACCCAGAGAAACAGGGTCCTTCCTAAAAGCCTCCGACCCTGAAACTTTCTTGCCGGCTATCTTTTGAAGCTCTTCACACTCATGCATCTCGGCTTTTTTTAAACCGAGTTGCTGATCAGTCTCTCAGAGAGCAGAAATACAAGTTGAGTAGAAGCCCGTTTAGCTGTTGTGATTGAAACTTTCCGACGTCGAACCTTCCTTGTGTCTGTTGGCGCGAGTACTTTTCTGTTCAGAGGCGGGTACGTATTCTAAACTGTAATATTTGGGTCGATGTTGGGCCCTCGGAGTGTATGCTCGTCATGCACAAAATTTGATTTTTTATAACGAAATCTAAAAGAGGCAAGTTGGAAGATTCAAGTTGCAAGTGAGTCAGTAAGTAAATTATTTAAAAAAAAAATTAACTAATAGAATATAATTTTTTGTTGTTTTTAAAGTAATTGTATAAAAATTTTGCAGACTTTTACTCAGCAATCAGGAGTGGGACCAGCAAAAAAATCAATGAGACTTTAAATGGGAAAAGAGAAGAAAATATTATGTATTCGTATTTGAACGTGAGTTATGTAATTTCGCAGCATTGCAGCCTTAAGTTTCATTGAAGCGAAGACCAGATATGAAACTCAAATCTTCCTTTAAACATTTCAGCGATTCTGCCATATTAATATTTCTCTTCTCTCTCACATTGAGTTGGTATAAATGTACGAGTATATATGTATATGTATATATGCGAACTAACTTAGGTAACTGTATACTTCAATTTTCAAATGCTTACAACTACATTCATACATATTTACATTTTCCTATATACATACATATGTATGTATAAATGAATTTATATATCTATTAATATAAAAACTAACTTCTTGCTATAAACATTCCTTGATAATTTGCCAACGGCGTATAACGACGGCAGCAAGTCCTTGAATGGCAGTAAACTGAGCACTTTTGTATTGTTTTGCAATAGAACGCAATTTGTAACTATACAACTACGTGCACACATACACACCTACATATGTATGTGTATATAGGCAACCACACAAAAGCCATACAACCGACCGACCAACCATACCGTCACTCAAAGTGCTATGGGTTTTGACAAATTGATGTCGCAGACGACGAACGAACATTTGCATTAAGAAGTTGACAAAAGTTGGCAAAGCGTGCAACCAACCCAAGGAGCCCGGAGCCGGTGGACGTAGCCGGGGCATGAGTTTGAGCATTAACATTAAGCTGATGCAGGGGGTGGCGGAAGGTGATGAAGTAAAGAGCTCGAGTTAGAAGTAATGGAGGAGGGTGCTGCACGAGAGGTGGAGCTGAAAGCAGATGCAGAAAGAATACAAAAAGGAGAAGAGTAAGAATACTCACTAAATAATATGTACAGCCATGTAAGGCAATGAGAAGCAACAGCCCCCAGCCACCAGTCAACAGTCAACAGCCATCAGTCAGAGCTCCACCCTATAAAATGCGAGCGATCCACTGTACTGGAATGCATTCTATGCACGACTCAGCGAACCATCGTTGATTAAAAGCGGCAAACTCAAGAATTCGCCACAACTAAGAAGTAGAAGAAGAAGAAGAAGACGTATCGGTAGAGAAATATAAGAAGAAGCAAAGTCAAGCAAACCGAACAAATAAAACTCCCATCAAATATTACTCAGGATGTCGAAACTCGTAAGTGGTTGATTGAATTGAGGAAAGTACTTTTTATTTGCACGCACACACTCCCACACACAAAGTTTTGTATTGATTTCTCCACTTCATTTATTTGCAGTTATCATTGTTGTTGTTGGCGTTTGCACTAAACACTGCACGCGTCACGGCTAAGCCCGACCAAGTGGCTGCAGTCGCGCCTGTTGTTACTGCATCGGCACCCGTTGTTGCTTCAGCACCCGCTATAGCTCCTGCGGCACCGTACGTGTCCGCTGCTTACATGGCACCTTACGTGGCTGCTCCTTACAATGCACCCTACACGGCTGCTTATTCCGCACCCTACGCGGCTGCTTACTCCACACCTTACGCGGCTGCTCCTTACAATGCACCATACACGGCCGCTTACTCCACACCATCTATCGCTGCTTACACTGCGTCCTATGCCGCGCCCTACTTTACGCCCTACTCCGCTGATTACACTGCCCCCGCCGCCTTCACTAACGCTCCATTGAACCCAGTGGCCGCCAGTCAACGTGTGGATGTACAGAATAATTATTATGCGGCACCAATAATAGCTGCTGCGGCACCTGCCAAGTTAGTCGCACCAACAGCCAGAATTGCATCAGGTCGCTTTGTTGCTCCGGCTGTCGGCGCATATGCCGCACCTGTAGCAGCAGCTTATACGTCACCGATTGCACCCATTGCCGCCGCATACACAGCTCCTTCCATCGCATCCGTAGCTTCCGTTGCTGCTCCAGCAAACTATGTTGGCCCCACGGCTGTGGCTCCGGCTCGGGCTCCAGTAATTGCTGCTGCCCCAGTTGCTGCCTCTCCAGCTAAGCTGGTTGCATCAAATGTTGTTGTTTGAACGGCGCTCATATGAAGCATTTGCTATTAAAACCGATAAAAACATATTTGGCAAATACGTGAGTTCTACGCTTTAGTGCTTTAAGTTGACACCTGTTAACCTTACCCATTATTGTTGAAGTTATTGCTTTTTGCTCTTAACATATACATACATACATTCCCGTACATACGTGTATACATATATAGGAGTATTCATTATTAATATTGCAAGTACCTGAATAAAAGGAAGCAGAAATATGCTCTTAAATGTGCCAGTAAAATTCTTTAAGACACTTAACACACATACACATACACACACAAAGATGTGAGTATATATAAATATATGATGTAGAGATGATCAGACCAATGACTTAGGTTGAGACTACTTACGCAGCTTTCCCCTAAAATGATTACAAACGGTCTAGAACTGCTGTGAGTTACTTACATATGTGTATATACATACATACGTGCCAAGCATTAGAAATATACTTTTGCGTATCATCACACAGTCCGGCATAGATGCAAATAAAATGGGCCGCAGTGTTTCCGAACAGATGTCCACGGTCGACAACTTGCCATCAACTCACGTTTTCAAAAAATTCGAAATATTTTTTTTTGTTAAATTTTTCAAAATTGTGCAGGTAAACTCTTACGCTTTAGGAAGATTTCTAACATTGAAGTTAAGGGCTGAAGTGAGATCTTTGAAATGATCCCTTTGAGCCAAACTGTTTGCCTGCCCCCTAAGAGGAGGCATTCGCTTATGTCTAAGGGTGCAAGAAAGAACATAAAAATTAAAAAATCTGAATGCTTCAACTAAACATAATGCCTAGTGGTGAGCTGAGGCGCTGATTAGGAGTCTGAGAGCAGATTTCGAAAATTACTACAAAAATAAACCGTGAAAAAGTCTAGTTTTAAACAGATTGAGTCAGTTAAAATCCTCCTCCTTCTTTGTATTTAGCTTGCCGCCAATCAAAATGTGATGGCTCAATAATTCTGTTATAAGTTGGTAATCTTCGTTTTCTAAGATAATATTTATTTTGCTGTCAAAAACTAATTGTCTCATTTTGATTAAATAAGTGTGAACACCGAACTCAGTGACATAAATAAACGTTAAATTGTTACTCAGCTCTGGTTGCACCAAATAAATACAATAAACCAAATTCGCATAGAACAAAAGGATAACTGGCATCGGGATAACTTTGCTGTATTTGAAGATTTGTTGCTTTAAAATTTGCTTCAATTTGATTCATTTCTGTGGTTTGATTTGCTTCAAAACTGGTTCAGATCATCAAATTGTTCGGACCGGCATTGAAGACATGTTTTCGTCGGAAAAAGTGGTTTTTGTGTTTTCGCCATGTAAAATCTGAACTCGCCACAAAACCACTTGAAGAACTCACTCATTGTTCTATAGTTGTATCGAAGTATTAGACAAATTTTGAATATAAAAATTATCGTTATCAGAACTAAAAAAAAATAATAGTAAAATATTATAAGGATTTACATAAAAAATATTCAACTGTATCGCCGATGTGGATGATTGCATTGAGGCGCAAGTTAATTGAACAATGCAAATCTTGCAGAAAAAGTTCATGAAATGTGCGTTAATCTGAAATCTAGAATTATTATATGAATATAACATATATAATTCAGAAGAGGTCCTTAAAATCTTTTAATCATTGTTTCAACATAAAAAATATGGTCCTAAGCAACTTAGCCCTATTGTCTGTTTTTTAGAAAATAATGTAGTACAATTTTCCAAGAATTATGTAAACAGAACTGTGGCGGATGCTTAAAAAAAAATTCTACATTTGTACATCCATCCCATGCGATTACTTACTTTTTCATCCAGGAAGCGATACTAAACTTAATGATCATTTTGAGTTTTCAAATGGTTCAATAATCAAGCGCTGTTTGTCTTAATTAGTCACATTCACCTTTTTTGTTAATAAAACATCAAACTGCCTTACAGTTGCAAAAGACTAGAATTACGCACAGCTTCTGAAAGGAACATCGATCCATATGAAAATATTTTAACGAAAGCATTAAAAGTCGGTTTGAATACTCTTGAGTTTCCAAAATGTTTTCGATGTGTGTCCGAACAAGGTATACAAGTTGGATTTGCTCGACTGTGTAATAATCATAATGAAAGCACCAACAATTGGGTTTTTGACACCTTGGTCAGGCTCATACTCACACTATCGAAGTATAAGCGGTCCAAAACAATGCAACGAAACGCGTTTCGGGATAACTCAGTTGACGATCAGTGCGATTTACATTTACGCGATGATTTTTACGGGAAAATTCAATATTGACGAGCCTTCAATCCCAGGATTCGGGTTATTCAAACCGATAAGCCATTGAACTAGTGTTTATTTTGAGTGTGGCAACACTGATGTTACATCTGATTTGACAGAAAGTTAGTTTTATAATTCCGCTGAACGAAAATGGTTGTGTATACGATTGAGGAACGCGTTAAAATAGTGCAGTTTTACTTTGAAAATGTGTGCGAAAATTACGCACGGAAATGAGCCGTAACAAAGCACCGTCCGCTCCGTATGTGCGCTTTCTTTTGAAAAAATTGAGAGAAACCGGCACAATTATTGATAAACCAACGCGTGAGAAACCAAAAAAAGTGCGTATTGCCGGTAATATCGCTGCTGCGGCCGAGAGTGTGCGTGAGGCGCCCGGAACATCAGTGAAGCATTGCTCTCAACAATTGGGCATTTCCGAGACGTCCCTTAGGGGAATTTTGAAAAAAGACCTTGGTATGACACCGTACAAAAGTTCAATTGGTTCAAGAATTGAAGCCACGAGACCATCCGATGCGGTTTGCCTTTGCCGAATGGGCATTTGTTTTATTGCATTTAAAAAAAAAAAGCTACGTGGCGGACCCACGTTCATTAACAAATCTCAAGACCAATCCGTAATCCATTCTCAAAGTCAGTTATACGTGGCATACGTCATATTAACGGACCGAAAACAATTCTGTTTTATTTGTTCTTCGTCTACTGAAAAACAAAAATTATAAAGGACTTCCTATTGACTCACAAAGCTTTAAATGATAAGTAAAAATAAAAAATATTACAATACATATAAAAGCAAACGAACGAAAGTTATGGCGAGCCGAACACGTTGTTCGGGGTCTAATATGTGTTAACGAATTACGCTGGGCAAAACAAAATTTTCAAACCAGAATAAAATTTTCTATTATTTTACGATGCGTTATGACTCTTGTGCGTCCCCGAATTATTTCTCTGGACGTGCTGAATGGAAAAGCGTACATTGCCAATACATCCATTGGCCTTGAAGTACTATATTTTATATAATAATAATAAATTGTATAATTATGAATCATTTTTAAAATTCTAACTACTCATTCATTGAAAGAAGTTTTTGTTAAAAAAAAAAAAGTTTAATAATTTTTTATTTTCATGTCGAATGGAACCTGAATATGCTGATTCTGATGAAATTCCCCCACTTGCACCTCTGCTGACATTTCACATTTCAAACCTATCAAAAGTGCGACCAGTTCTACTCTAATAGAATTTACCACTGGGCCTTCAAATTCATTCATTAGAATGTGACTGTCTTCGATGGAATTTGATGGCATTCTTTGATAGATGCTTGCTGTTGTACAGGGTTGTATGTGGTGTTGTCGTAAGTATTGAGAAATTGAAATGCGAACGTGAATTTATGGTCATTTCTCTTCGGTAGAAGTTCTTAATGTGATGTTCTACTAAAGACTTGCACACATATTTACGAATGTATGTGAAGAGGTGCATAGCTTAAATATTTCTAACTAAAAGTGAGAAGATAATGCCTGCCCTTCCAACATGTGAGGGTGGGTGGTGTTTTTTATTCAATTTAAAGGGAGTTAGGTAGGACAGTTTAAGGGATGACTTGTGGTATTCCGAGAATTCGTTTCGAGTAAAACTTGCGATGAAGACATTTGCGAGTGTGTCGATTGCAGTCTTAATAGACGTTTCTGATTTACAGCGAAAGTTGATTAGAGTGGCAGATCAACAATAATTTATTTAATGTTTGGAAAACCATCTCAAGGATATTAGAAAGTTCAAAGTTTTACTAAGGGCCACAAAGGGTCAGTGTAGCAGTGTTTAACAGCGAGTTCTACTATGCGGAGGTTCATGGTTTTGATTCTTTCAATAGAAAACTAATCATAAAAATCCATGAACGTTGCGAAAGAGACTTAGAACTGTAAGTTCTCCGTTTGTTAAAAAAACATCAAGACGCATTTAAAAAATTTGGCACATAAATTTAAATGCAGCATAGTTTTTAAATTCTTTTTGCAAGTCCATTGAGGAACGTAAACAGAACAAATAAAAAGAGTTGGCGCTAAGATTATTCCTTCTTTCCGGGAGAGCAATTTCAAAATTATAAATAATTTCTCCCGCCAACTCACTGCAAAATGCAATAAGTATATGTGCATAAATCCAAGTTATGAGAAGTCTTGTGAGTAGTTACATCACCTTAACAACATTCAGTGGCAGAATTGTTCACTTACATAACCAAATTTATTTGGCTATCAAACTTTATAAATTTCATCAAATTACTCACTGGCGAGTGCAGGTCTGGGCAAGACTAGTAGGCACAAACTACATCCCCATAACCACGCACACACAAACACACATTTATATCACAATATTCCATTAGCAAAAGTAATTTTAATATCATCAGCTGTACTAAATGTAATCTAATTTTGCTTTTAACATAAATAAGCCAACAAACTTTAGTTAGCATAAAAGTTAGTTGATAACTTTTTTTTTTTTTAGAAATTTTACATACTTTTATGCACATACACCATTTTATACTAATTTTAAATCAAATTAGAAGCCAGCAAATTAATTTAAATACTTTATAATTAACTTTTATTAGAACTACTTTGTTCATCAACTACATGAAAATATGTATGTACACATTAGTGTATAAGAATTGTCCCACAGAAAACGTGATAGCCGGAAATACAAATTCTGACGAAATTTCGAGCGTTTCTTTTACTCTTCTCTACTTTTCAAGCTATTTCTTTGATCGTCAATTTTTTGCTTTATTTTATGGCTTTCATCCCTAGAATTAGTTTGGTATTTCATTAAAATGACAGAAGTGGCGTTGATTTACCACTTAACTTAGGTAAATTGATCACCACAAATGGGTCTGAAGTTGGAATTTTTTTTTTGATTTTTCAATGTGCTCCTTGGCATAGTGGCTACGCAACTTCTTACGTAAATGCAAATTCAAATTCAAATAAAGTTT